AACTAATATTGCACTATTCTTACAGACTGCTATCAAAGGCAACACGACTTTCTATGACCCGCAATGCGGTATGGGCATTATCAAATCTCTGTCGAGGAAAAAATCCAGCACCAGCTTTTGCAAAGGTTGCACCGTGTTTACCAGTGTTGGCACATCTTCTCAATCATACTGACTATGATGTACTCGCTGATGCTTGTTGGGCTCTTTCTTACTTGAGCGATGGCCCAAATGATAAAATACAAGCTGTTATTGATGCTGGCGTTTGCAGACGTCTCGTAGAACTTCTCATGTATGTTGAAGTTTATATTAAATTCATCATACATAAGATATTTTATGTAGTAGATTATATAACAATTGAAAATTTTTCAGGCATGAACAAAATAATGTAATAAGTGCAGCTCTTCGTGCTGTAGGAAATATAGTTACTGGAGATGATGTGCAAACGCAAGTTGTATTAAATTGCTCGGCTTTACCTTGTCTATTGCATCTCTTAAGTTCGCCACGGGAAAGTGTTCGTAAAGAGGCTTGTTGGACAGTCTCTAATATCACTGCCGGTAATCCCCAACAAATACAAGTATGTTTCAATCTTTTAAACATAATAGAATATAACTTTGTTTGTATATTATCATATATCAATAATTAATATACAACATTGATTTCTATTTTTTAGGCGGTGATTGATGCTAATATCTTTCCGGTTTTAATTGAGATTTTGAGTAAAGCTGAATTTAAAACACGTAAAGAAGCTGCATGGGCAATTACAAATGCTACTAGTGGCGGAACGGCCGAACAAATTCGATATCTCGCAGTGCAAGGATGTATTCCGCCACTCTGCGACTTGCTTACTGTTATGGATGTCAAGATTGTTCAGGTTGCTTTGAATGGTATAGAAAATATTTTACGCCTGGGAGAACAAGATGCAACTATGCATAATGGTCTCAATCCTTATGCAGTTCTTATCGAAGAATGTTATGGTAAAATATCAATTTGATACAGGTTTTCTATGAAAGATGTGTTGATCAATAAATATTAATCTGTTAAATCAATTTTTTTTTAAATAATGTTTCAGGCCTAGATAAGATAGAATTCTTGCAATCGCACCAAAATATGGATATTTATCAAAAGGCCTTCGATATTATCGAACGATTCTTTGGATCTGAGGAAGAAGATACACGACTTGTACCTTCAATCGATTCACAAGGACAAGAATATCAGTTCATCGCACCAGATTCTTCCCACCTACCAGTGCAAGGCTTTGAATTCTAATCATCTGTCTTTAAATTTCTGAATATAACTCTGTTTCGTTAAACGTTAACGTTATTCGTTCCACAGGGATTTATAATATTCTAAAAATTAGTAGGGGAGATCGCGCGCCGAGCTATCTGTTTGCGAGAGGTAGATGTCCACAGTACTGCTATCTCAGATGTTAAGAGGTAGATATCCCTATTAATTTAAAAAGTAGCTGAAAAAGCTCTAACATGGAAACCAAAATTTCTGAAATTACTTACATAAAGCTTTTTCAACTACTCGTTAAAATGATAGACATCTGCCTCTTAACATCTGAGATAACAATACTGTGGACACATGGTCTCCCCTACATCAATAGGAAATATGATTTTACATATTTATTCACTGAGCCTGAGTATATTTGTGTCAAAAGTACAAAATAATTGAAACTGATCTATTCTTTTTTTATTCGAATTAAAAGCAGTAAAAACTCTTGATACACTTCAATTGATTTTTTCTTTTTTTATTATTTAAGATGAACCATAACTTACTCTATGTTACGATCTGAAATTGTTTTCGAATCTACATCAAATTACGACAATGTCTGTGTTTAGAGCCTTGAAATAATTTGTGTAGGAACACTTACAGACTCATACCTGCATGTATTTAGTATGAGACGTTTAGTTTTTGAAACAAACGTCTTAGTGCTTAAGTAGAAGTGGAGACAGTGATCAGAACAATTTGTCGAGGCAAACTCACACCTCGTCCGACATGTGACTGACGCAGAATTACGAAAAAAAAAAGTAACTTGCATTACCCTGCGAGACACTAACTGAATGACTGAAGTACGCGACTACGTAGCCAACACGGACAACATTACGCAACGCGGTACTCACCTCCTTACTATACTAGATAGAAACATGACCAATTAAACTTTTTTACTGTAAATACGTATCTCGTAATTTTAAGGCTATTCTATACAGAGTGCCCTTAAGAAGCGAAGCAATAGTTTTATTTGGCTGTAAATGCAATAGTTTGCAAGAATTGAGATATTTGTTTGTAATTTGTGATAGATATGATTTATACTGAGATACGTGCAAAATATGCTTTGGTTTTCTTATGTTAAATAATCGTGCGGAATAAGTTCTTAATTATAAATATTTGCAAATGTATTAAATAAATATTTTTTATCTTATGTTTCTTATAATTGAATTTTTAAATTATCGTAGAGTCAATATTTTTCAACCCTTTATTTGCATATGATGAAAACGAATAGTATTGAAATTGTACAGCACATAATCAGATTTTGGACATTCTGTATGAAAAGTCTATGACTGTATATATGAAATGTATTTATTATTTAGGTTTGACGATCCCACACTATTACACCCTATATATACTATCTACTTTTAGTTATCGATTTGTGAATTATTACGACGGAGAACGACTGTACTACAGCTCATTAGTTGAAACTTTGCTAATATATTTAGCAAAGTATACAGCTATAGTTGCTTATTGCCAATTTATAATATATTTACCGAATAATATTACATGAATATAGAAAACTGAATTTGTCGAGTTGATTATGCGTTATGCACGTTATTTTTATATAAAATTTGGAAATAATTTTCGATTTTATATATATATATATATAAAATAGATAAAATCATATATATGATAACTATCAGTCCTGAAAACTGATAGATTGGTCTAAATCAGTGTTTTTCAATCGGTATAATCAACAATCTTTAAATACAAAATTTTTACTAAAAAATAAAATAAAATGTATTCTATAATTATTTTAATTAAAATAGATTTTAATTGTTTTTACATTTTTATTTAATCAATGTTAATAGAACAAATATTACTATTGCTTTTATTTCATACGTAAATAGATTCGCGTGAACATGTATTTATAAATTTATTACGAACTTTTTCTGCTTATTAAAATATTCATTATTGAAAGATTGAAAAAAGTACTTGTCTAAATAATCGTGAATATATTTTTCCCAACGATCTGTAATAAAATGTTAGAAAATTTATTAAAATGGAAATAAAGCTGTATAAATGGATATTGTATATTAAAGCTTTAGTTATCTTAAGTTTATTTTTCAGCTGTTTCTAGAAAATATTGAAAAGAATTGTAATTTGATATTCTTAAAATGATATATTCTAAAAAGCATTGAATGCATATCAGAAAATTAATAATTTTTTATTTAAATCACAAAAAATTAATGAAAATCATGTAAAATATGAAATAAAATTTGTATTTTACGTGTGTATTTGATATATATGTATATATTTTAATATTTAATTTGAATAAGATAACGAAAGTTAATAAGAGTGAATAAATTTTTTTTAATATGAATCGTTTATTATATGCAATTCATACAAAATGTTACAAAAAATAAATTATTTTCGTATATTTGTAAATGTAACTTGTCAATAACATTTTGCAATTTTATTATATGTAAATACCTTGTATTATTAAACTAATTAAAACTATAGTGTACCAGGTCTTGTAAATTGGCAATGAGCAGGATACGATACTCGACATTATTTCAATTGTTGTATGGACTGCCGACTGACACATTAATACAAAATCGAATATCACACACAAAATAATCCTAATTACTGTATTTTATTTTGAAGCTAAATAAATATGTCATTCGGAAATATGCGTGAAATCGCTACGTACAGTGTCATTATATTTTTCGAAAATAGAAATATGAAATTGTGATTAGAAAAACTCGCTAAAAATAAAATTTATTTCGTGTAACATTGGCATAACAAAATAAAGTTAAATTAACAGATCTATAGATATATTCCCTAGTTTGTAACCAAAGACGAATAACTTCATCATAACTGTCATAACTGCTAATTGTATATGCTAAATTGTTCATTATATATAACGAAGAAAAAACCATAAATATTTTTAATATTAGAATCTTCTCATTTTTCAATTTTGACAGTTTTGATTTAATAAACTGCAGCAATAGCTTATAAATTTCAAAAATATATAACACAACATATTAGCATTACATTCATCATGTACATTAATTTAAATTTTATATTATACTATTAAAACTAGCGCCAAACTATATGCGATTCGTGATAAATTTACAGAAACTGATCATTTATCAGCATGGATTCTCAATCCATGCTGATAAATGTTCGCGATTTGTGATTTATTATTTATTTATATATAATTTAGCTTATGATATAGATATGATAGAAAACCTTCAGCAAGATGAGGAGATATAAATTTCTCACGGTCACAAAATCGTTTCAAAATTGTATTTCTAGAAAGAACAAATGTATTTGTTTTAGAACTTGATATTTACAAAGGGCTCTATCAACTGAGATTAAAGAGAATGCTAGTAGTTTTATTTTTTTTTACATAATGGTAATGACTTGACATTTGAGACACCATGTCTTCTAATAATAGCTCTTTTTAAATATGAATAGAAACACAGCTCATACATAATTGTACTTCATTACTATTACATTTATCGAAAGTGTTAAGGCAAAGTTTTACATTCAAGAGTTTCCAATCAACACAAACTAACTTGATTTATTTTAATTTTCGTTAAAAAACCGTTCTGTTAGTGACTCGACATAAATAATAAACAAATAATTGCAAATTCAACGAATCTACTTTTCTAAACGAGTCTCTTCGAATAGCTGCACATAGGACGCTAGCTTTGAATTAACAATTTTATTATTTACATAAATATTTAACTTTAATTATTTACATAACTATATCAATGTGCTGTTGTAACTGTATATACTTATTTTCTTGCAATTAAGATTAGCAATATTTTAATTGTGGCTCAGGTCGTACCGATATAATTACTCCATCTGTAATGCGCGTTACGAGTGCCATCAAAACATCTTGATCGATGCTCTTTGATAGTCGATTATAAATCTCATTTTCTACAAAGCTTAGCTTCTTCTGTTGTGATAAAGAACTGTTAGTTTGCATAGTAAGAATGTAAATAGCTTCTGCTACTAAAGGATTTATTCTATCGCATAAATTATGTAATGCCTTTATTGCTTCTGCATTAATTTTCAATATGTCGTGAATAATCTGCAACAAATTTACTTGATTATACAAGTCAGTTCATATAAGTATAGTTTATATTTGATATATATGCGTACTCACCACAACTCTTTTTTTTTCCGGAGAATATTCGTTTAATGTAACAATGATCTCACCAGCATCGTTTCCAAAATCTTTTGGATTAAATATCAGATAATTATCTGCATTCAAAATGTCACTACTCATATGTGCTAGTTTAGTAGCGAAACAATTCATTGTAGCTGTTTCCTCTGCAAACAGCAAAATTACTGAAGGTATTTTGGGAGTGCTTGATATCACTTCGTTTATAGCAGATGAAATATCATTCCAAATATCTGATTCTTGATTATAAAATGTTGTCTTGAGGTTTTGGACTGATTTAAATAACAGTGAAGTATATGGATTATTGGGGATTATAGACTGTATTTGTTCTTTATTTTCATGTAATTTCGAAAAACTTATTCCTACTACTATTATTAATATCAAAATGTAGCAATGAAGATTGCTGCTTGTTTTCTGTTTATTCTCCTCAATATACTTTGATGTAGACTCCCTTTCATACTTTATTTTCTGTTTTGAATGAACATTTCTTTCTGGAGAGATAGTTCTAGAGCGATTTTGCGAACAATGTAAAGATAATATCTTTTCGTCTTCCTCACTAGAACTTTCTGTTATTTGTGTATTTTCATAACTTTTGAATGATTCTTCTTCAGTTTCAGATGAATTTGATATATTTTGCTGTCTTGATATTTTTCCTTCTATTTCTGAATTTTGAAATTTATTGTTTAAGGAATAGTTTTTGCTTGTATCTTCTGATCCTAGAGATTTTCTAGATTTGGGTGATATGGATGTCATTGGTGGACTATGAATCTGCAAAAGAATAATGCATTATCTGTTACACAAGTAAATTAGAAATAGTCATGCAGCCTTGATAATGCCTTGCAATCAAATTTAATTTATCCCTGTAATATAATCAATATAATTCTTAAATAGAATCTATTTATATCAATTAGTTATGTTCCAAAGGAAAACATTGCATGTAGTGACAAGTGATACATGAGATTTTAATCAATATACTTTAAATAGGCTAATAAAAAGTAGAAAGTAACATCCTGAAGAAAGTTATACATACATTACTTGTATCTGTTAATTTTAGAGCTCTTCTAGGTTTGGGTGTAGATGGTATGGATGTCATTAGTGGACTGTGAATCTACAAAATAATAATATAACATGACACCTGGAGAAGACATGAAGAGGAATCGCAATTGCATGAGTAAAATGTTAGTAGAATACCGAGATTCTATATATTTAACCAGATTACTGCAAATTGACATCATTTGCATTTGCTTATATTTTACTAGCAGAAATTGATACAATTTAACGGCAAAGAAATTAAGATTGTGTTCAGATATATACTCGGATATACAAGGTGTCCCATAAAGACTTGAACAACGCTTAAGGAGAGATTCCTGAGATTGTTCGGATCTTTACGGGACACCCTGTATGTATACTATCAGTACTGAAAATCTAGTATACATAACACGAATTATAAATTTTCAGTATTGACAGTATACATATATCTGAATATGACCTAAGTAGACTTAAGGTCTGTTTTTTATTCCTGCAATCTCTGAACTGATGCATCGGTGCAATAAGTTAAAGTGAAACAAATAAAAATTTGTTTCATCTCAATTTATTGCATCGTGTGCACCAGTTCAGAGACCGTGCAGGAATAAAAAAACAGACCCTATAGTGTATTTAAAGTATTCAAATTACAGAATAGCGAATTCTGCTTAGTCAGTTTTTGCAGTTAATCTATTATTACATTCTGCTTGCAACCCTCACAGGTTTTGCTATATTTCTACTGGCATTTTACCAACAAGATCTGTAACGCGCATAATTAAAAAATCTATTTTCGACTTCGAGAGATTTTACCATTATCTACGTAATGTAAGAGAAAAAAAATCCCACGTGTACTTAACAGTCAAGGATTTCATTCGCTTATTTCGACGAAAACGAAAAATAAGACTTCTCAGGGGAAAATCAATGAGTAAGTAGTAATGAAACCCAAAGACATATATCTTGTACTTTCCACAGCCGGTGGACTCATCTCCACTCATCTTTTATCGTCACGGAAGGACGACATAACCCCATCATAACGGTCGCAGCAATCGGACGTATCGCGATTATCGCAACTTTGCCGTGAAGTGTTGCCCAGAGCACCAGATTATGCGCGATTGGTAAAATCGCGATTCGAGTTTGATGCAGTTTGATCCACGCAAGTTCGCGGCCTATACTATGGCTGCGTTCGGAAACGTTGCTCGAATGCCTCGGATTCATCATCTGTCCTTGTTTAACATTAAATATTAAACAAGGACAGATGATGAATCCGAGCGACGTTCCGAACGCAGTCACAATATATGTCCTTGTTATCCTGTAGGTTAAACAAAGACACCTATCGTATAGGTCGCGAACTAAGCGTACGGTGTAAACGTAGCCACTTAGCCAGTTTCAGAGTGGTTACCGGTCGCCGCTCGATCAGCTAGATGATGTGAAATACGTGAATGCGTCTATCGTGACATTCGTGTAACAACTGATAATAACGCGAGACGCACGTTTTGCGAAGATCCGGCGCATCTGGCTGCCGCCGTCGTCCTCGTCATCGTCGTCGTCGTCAAACCTGAGGGCGTCAATGAACGTCCGGATGCGAATTCGACGTTGCTATACGGCGACAACATGTGTGTTGGCCCGCTAAAGAAATTATGCCATTGGGGACCGCTCTCCTCACTTGGTACGTCACAAGTGTCTCCAGTCCGGATGGACTCCGATCGCTTCTCGTCGTCTCTCATCGTCAATCTACCGTCATCTCGTCAACGAAAACATGATTGATCTCTCGTCAGCTATACGTTCAAATATAAGAGAGAACTTCTTGACTAAATTCCGACTAAATCGAAGATGATTAACTTGTCAAATAAAATAGAACTTTTGTGTGTAGATTAATTATTAATTTTTTGTTGTTTGATATGTGAAAAGAAATATCAATGAAATTATGTAAGAAAAGTGTAAGAATTTGATGAAAGGGGTAGAGGAGGTATGGATGAGCAAATACTGCCCGTCACTTGGTAGTAATATGATGTTTGGAAGGCTAAGAAAAATAAAATGAAGATTTTAACAAGGATTTTCCTGGACAAGTGAGGAATTAAGGAAACTGAAGAAAATATTGAAGAATTATAAATAAGATAATAAAAAGGAAAAACTGACAATCAAAAGCAAGGACTTTATTGTATTTAAATACAGTACATTGACCAGAATCCTGTTATTTGCTATTAATTTGTCATTATTTATCAATTTTGAATTATGTAATTTATTATCTCTCGACTAATCTTTTTTTGTCATGTATCAAATGACAAAAAAAAAAATTGTTCATGTTAACGAAATATTATTTGACAAGTTAATTGGAATTGAATGAAAGTCACCTTAAAGTAGTACATGGTAGACATGATTTTTAAAAATTGATCGGTAATATCCAGAGATATTTTTCAGCAAGATAGATGACACAGTATAACATGGTGAATGATTTCAGCTTTGTTTAACATTGGTAAATAACAAGAATGTAACGATTTACTGTATAACACTGTGTCATCTGTGCCTTTTGCTTGAAAGCACCCAATAATAGTTCAATATCGATAACATATATTGCAAAAAGTATATACTGTAATGTTCTGTTATATTTACATGGCTTTTGTTTGATTTTTTGCACACGTACAAAACGTTTAGTTCATTTTATTTGATATTATAAATAATGTAAATTATAATTTGGTTTGTGAGATTACCGGTATAAAATCTTGATGGCAAGGAAATTAGTTATAGATTGTAACTTTTGTTATATTAATTTGTGTTGCAGCGATGATAAAGCTCATCACGTTGATGACGATACACTGTAGCAGACAGTGGTGGCCACCGCAAGACAGTGTCCCAGCGGCTGCCAGTTTCTTGCTGTTCTTCACTCTCAGTGGATTGACTCTGTTCCATTTTATCAGCGCGATTGTTGAAGGACCCGGATATCTCACATTAAAATGGATGCCAGTAATATATTATACATTTATTATTGAACTTATTTAAAAAGTGAATACTTTTTTTCACTCCTTTGCAAACAACTGAAAACCCATGAACTTAACTTCTCGTTTTCTTTTCCATTATTTTACATTTATTTGATTACTGATAGGAACAAAAATTAAAACAAATTTGTACAATCCTAATTTCAAATTAGAAGGGTTTAACTATATTAATTTAATTTTACATTATTTAAATATTTAGGCGATAAAAATGGTATTATTACGTTAGACTTTATTATATTTAAATTATAATAATTAATGATAAATTTATGATACAAAGCATGTAGATTTTGTTGTATTATTAGTTAATATGTTTTACATTTATTTATACGTTTGCATTAATATGATTTGTTTTCAGGAGGAAGCTACAGATATACAATATCTACAATACTGTATTGTCTGCCAAGGTTACAAGGCACCAAGATCGCATCATTGTAGAAAATGTAAGAGATTAAATATAATGTAATTAAAACATAAAGCAACAAGTAATAATAAATATAGATATTACTTAATATTTTTAAAAGATTTATAAATTTGTTACTACGATGATAATATAATTTAACGATTTTGGTGCTCTTTCTATTTTGCTACTCCTGCTCGTCAATCTATTTTTCGATAGAAAAACACATAAATGTAGCATATAAAAGAATTAAAAGATCATTGTTTAATTTTCCAATACAATTCTATTTTAATTATTCTATACTTCTTTTCTTCTATTTACTTTTTAGGTAATCGTTGTGTGATGAAAATGGATCATCACTGTCCATGGATAAATACATGCGTAGGACATTATAATCACGGGCATTTCACAGCGTTTTTGGCAAGCGCAGTTGGTGGTTGTTGCGTTTCTTTCGTTATATTAAGTTCCTGGGTAGCAACCGTATTATCACTGAAACCTTTGCCATTCCCATCACCAGAGTTCTATACAATAATATTAGTAGTATTTAGTATTGGTGCATCAGTTGGCGTTGTACTTGCAGTAGGAATGTTATTATGTGTCCAGGTAAATGTTTTTAATACTCTTATATTCAATTGATGCGTTAATTATATAATTCTTCAAATTGTATAGATATTAGCCATCTTGAGAAATCGAACAGAAATAGAAGATTGGATTCTGCAGAAGTCCCAATGTTGGCGAAATGATAGAGATGCCGAATATATACATCCATATTCAAAAGGATGGCGTTTCAATATTAGTCAAGTTCTTACATGGGATTGTACTCCCGTCGGCGATGGCATTACGTGGCCAGTTATTGATGGCTGTGATCAATATACATTAACGGTAATTTTATTTAATTAATAATACGTCACATAATTCTACAATAATTATTTATTTAAAATTTATATATGACATAAAAATTTCCGTAAATATTGCTTGCGCGCGTATAGTATTATTAACTCTTAGAAAGTGTAATTATAATATGCTACATAATTATTATTTTGCAGAGAGAGCAGCTTGCTCAAAAATTAGACAAACAAAAAAGAGCACGCATATATAGGATTGTAAAAGCTGCATCAGGATCTAAATTTCCAATTGGACATGGTTTTGGCGTATTTTTTCATCCACTTTGTACTGATGAATCTCGCATTAAGTTAGATGTAGACGATATTGTGATTGTAACACGTTGGAAGAAGTATGTATTTTGTATATGATATTGAAAATTAATTTTTTAATTAAATAATTTGCTAATTTACGAAAAATTTTTATACTTTTTTTGCAGATATTGGTTATTTGGACGAAAAGAACAAAAGGAAGGAGAAAATGGAAAATCGAAATGTATAAGAGGATGGTTTCCACGGCCCTGTGCGGTGGAAGTAATAGAAAAATCTGTACGGCTTAGATAATTTGTTCAAAATAATTTATTAATTTTAGAAAACTTATGTGACAATATTTGTGAAGATTTAAGAAACTATTTATAATAATTTTGCATTTTTCACAGTAAAAGCTGTGAAGAATAATGGCGAATTCGATTGGAAGAACTAGTGCGCACTGGTGCATATTAAAGCCGTTGTACACTAATTTAATAGTATAAAAATGAAATGCAAATATTTCGAATTATGAAATACATATTTTACCTAATAGTACAATAAAATGTATTAAGTATTTCACGATTTAATCGATCTCTATGTTTATTTATAAACATATCTTTACGTTATTTCGTGTACGACGGCTTTAATGTGCACCAATGCGCACTGAGTGCGTCCAATCGAATTCGCTATAAGATAGAAGAACATTACTCCATACCTGTTTGTGTTCAAATCGATATATTTTCTTTGTACTTGTACCTTCAAACCAATCAATAGATTAAGATATATTATCCTACTATTAAGATATATCCTACAGTATAACATTCTTTGCATATAAATAAGTATAAAAATATTGTATATAAATTTTTACTTATTAAGATACTTTGTTTTTATATATAGCGTAACAGTTTTGTTGTACAATATACATGTAATTATATACATATACATATAATTTAATAATTGTATACATATATATAATTATTTAAAAATAACATGTAAATATGATCTATAGCAACAAATCTTACTTTAATTAGAAAAATAGTCTAATTAAAAATATAAATTTTTTTTATCAACTTTTTATAAGAAAAAACATGTATTGCAGGAATTTGTATATGCTTTAAGATAACAGGAAAGATATTTGTAAACAGATGAATATAATAAATAAATTTAGTCTTGCGATACAATTAAGAGGTAATCTGAAAGAAGTATTCCCAGCGTGTATACAACTTGAAAAGGCTGTGAAAAATCAATAATACAGTGTGGAAAGTCGCATTGACTGAGTGAACTCACTATGTACGTGTCAGAGCACGTGTATATATAACGCGCGCACGCTTTTGCATTATGCGCGCTCGTTCGAAGCGTTTAACACGCAATACGATTACTTTGCACAACTGCAGAACGTTCTATTTTATTATTATTCTATACTCATCTCGATTAAATGCGTAATGTTATATGTATAATAACCGGTTAATGAGTGTATAATACACAAAGAAAATTATTGCGTAAGGGTCAATGTTACAATCCTCATGTAATGCAAGCCGCGAATTCACGTTCATAACATATATCTATTTAATAATCGGCAGTGAAAGGATCGTACTAGTAACTCACGAAATATGTAATCGAATGTAATATGCAACAACTCAATTTGCTGCGAATGATTACAGTGTGACAAATGGATAAAAATACGAGATGCCACAGAACTTTAAAATTTCTTGTAAGGAACTGCATACATTGTTGAAATACCATTGACGTTCTTGAACTCCTTTTTATAATTTTACCTGTTTTATTTAATTGATATGAATATGGATTCCTTTCATCCATTCACTCCAGAGCTTGAAATTTAATATTCATATATATTCTCTTGCGAAGCTTAAAAATATAAATAAAAGAACAAGATTAATTAGAATACAGAACGAAATAGCTTTAACAACGGGTATATAATTCCGCGCGTGCGCGCGTGTGTGTGTGGGTGTGTGTGTGATAATTATAGTTTGTATAATGAAGATTAAAGGCTTGCACGATAAAAAGCAATGCAAATAGCGTGACGCAGATATTCAAGAGTGCACTATATTACACATTCAATAAGCATATCTTTTATTTTGATTTTCACTTTTTATTATTTAAATTAACTAATTTACGAATAAAAGAACCAGTTATGATAAAATTACATTAATCTTATAGGAAGTTAGTTTTAAATTAAATTAAGATAAAATTCACGTATATATATTTACAAATTATGTACATATTTTTTAGAATGAATAATTTTATAAAAACATTTCACTTTAATTTAAAATGACTTTTTAGATCTTATTCTTTCTTTTTAAAGAGAATTTTAATGGCCGTTTCAATTACACACTAATTTATTGTCCAAAAATTAAGATGCCGATGAATTGCAGAAGTATTTAGGAATATAAATTTAAGACCGAAATGTATTCTGTAATTTCTAATGAATTTTATTAATTTAAAAATATTTAAATTTCGCAAGAAAACAAGAAAATAAACAGTTTTATTATAGACTCATGTATATAATTGCAATAAAAAAATAATAATGATACGTTGTTTTCCGACAAGAGATCAGATTTATACGTATAATTGATGAAAATAGTAGTAGTTACATCATGTATCGTTATGTGACACGTAAAAGGAAATACATATATAATTACTATTTATGGCAGTACCTATGTGATTTCTGCTATGTATAAATTGTAGATATTCTCCTAAACGAACGAAGAGTGGAACCGGTTGTAGGATCGACGAAGGAAGTGAAAGTGAAGGATCAATTTAGTAAACGCAAGTGTGTGACTTTGTGATCCTGTGGTGGGATCCTACTAACGTTTGGCTTGCCAGCAATCAATCGAATACTGCAGTTTCTTACGTGCGGATCTGTCACGAGCACGAAATATCTTTTTATCCTTACTTGTCGTGTAAACAGCTAACTATTTCGAGTAAGTCTCTGTAATTTATCGCGTGAAGCTATTTAATTTATCGCTTGCATAAAGAAATGCTTCCGACTGTCGCGATATTACCGGCATTCATCTTCTCCAATCAGATTAATTTGTATCAAATTTGCCCTAAATAGTATCTTGTTATGAATTTTTCTATCGTTTCAAATTACTTATAACTTTATGTATTAGAATTTTATTTCTGAAATTAATTATGTATAAAAAATTAATAAAATTAATCAACAATGATTTAAATTTCAGTATTAACTTGAGATTATTTATATATGAGCTACTTTTATATATTAGCTATATGATAATATTTATTTTTATTACTCTTATGGTATTTAAATTGGGGAGGCACCCTTCATGTAAAAATATTATTAGATTTGCAAAAAAACGATTGGAAATAATTAAAAAAATCATTCAAATCTAATATTGTACACAATCTATTCGTTCCGATAGTTTCTTCATTAATCCAATAGTATTTTTTCATAGGGGGGTAAGCGCCAGAAATGATATTAATATAAATGTAAATACAAAATGCATTATAATTTAAACAAATTATTTGAACATTCAGAAAATATAATGTATCTACATAAGTTAACTACGAATATTGAAACATTTCGCTGATTCTCAAAAACAACCGGTATTAATAAAATTTTTTTGCATGTATCTCTCGCGTTGTCGGAATGAAGGAAGCGACACGATCAAGATGCATCTTACCGGACACGTTAAGATTCTATTCACACTCGTCCTCTTTTCGTCGATTTCCGTTTTCGGGTTTCCAGACGGTGGGCCGGTGGACGCGTGCGTGAAGCCACGACCTAATCAACCCTACCATGGTGAAGCACGGTCACAACCCTTAAACACGAGCCCTTACAAGATACTGGCTTCGTCGTCGCAGTACGGACCAGGTTCGCAGGTCACAGGTGAGCCAAATGCGCATGGAGCTTATATTATTGAACATCATTTGGGTATTCTGGGTTAATTTCTTACTACGCAAAACAAATGATGAAATTTTTATTAGTTGAGTCTAGAGTACCTCCAAGCGAGAGATACTCCGCAATATACATAAACTAGAATAATAATTTTATGAAACTTTGGAGTACACCTAAGCCTTTACGGTATACGAAGATTTAATATCGTCTGAGATGAAGCTAATAAGATAAAAGGACAGTACAGAGCGAGAAGAAGCTATTGAAAGTGTTGAAACTGAATGGCTATTATTTTATAATAAATTAACGGAACGAGAGGGATAAATTAAACATTATTCTATAAAATCTCATTAGTATATAGTGCAAAAAATATATCTATATTTTTAAACATGTAAAAATAAATATTAAAAAATCGAAAAATTGATTATAGCCGCATGACTCAACGATATATGTATGTATGGAAGATATCTCGATGTGAATACTAGTATTATCTTTATGAAAAGAATTTACTTGAAATTCTTTTCTGAGGTAGTTACAATTATTAAATTTAAATTAGAAATCGTGTTTAACGATTTTAAAAACACTTTTGATTGTAACATAAGCTCAGATGGTCATTATTCCAAAAATATTAATCGCTGCAAATATATAACTGTATTATACACTATTTCTTATTATATTTATTTTTACAAGTGTGTTATATGTGTGTATATGTGTATAAATGGTTGTTTATAGTGTAATATTCATTTTATTCTACTCATTACAAAATAATTATAATTTAGTTTCAATAACTTTTCAATTGTTATCTTAATTAATACATTAAAAAGAGAAAAAAGAAATATTGCTATAATTTCTTGCAATGCGTATAATTAAAAAAATATATTGTAATTTCTAAGATACGATAAATTAAAATAATTATTTTGTAAAAGAAAAACAAGACAATGCAATCGTAAAGCAGAATTAATTTCTGTTTTCTCTTTTCCTTTCTATTGTTCGCTTATTATTTATATAGCATTCAGTAGTTTGGTTTATTTATCGTCAAAGAAGTATGCATTTTGTCCAACATGAGATAATTGGATTCATCAAAATTACAACTGCGAAACGTGTTAAATGTACGTAACAATGTACTCCGTTAGCTTCGTTAAACACGTCAGCGCTTGTAAAGCAATGGATAATTAGTCTACAAGAGGGATAAGTACACCCGTTCATTTTCGAGCATGCGAACAGTTTCCTTACGTTGGTTACGCATGATTAAACGTAGATGTCATTTATCCGCGGAGGAAGGTTGAAATGAAAGTCTGAAATCCGTTACGCAATAAATCATGAAACTTTGAAAACTCGTATTGCGAAGCAAATGTGTGTCAACTAATTCTTGTAACGCGGATCTCATAGATCAAAATTAAATTTTAAAAAGTTCATTCCTTTTTAAATTCCAAAGCGATTTTGTGATTTCTTAAAATAGTTTAAATGAGACAAACGTAACGCGTGCCTTTTTTAAAAGAACAAAGAAAAAAAACAATAAAAAACGCATAGATATTGAAATTTAAAAAAGTAATTTTATCTCTAAATTCAGACCGAAATTGAACGAGACATTTTAACAAATGTTGCAAAAGTGATAAGACTATCACTTTTTTGTTATAGATTACATTGCACATTTAAATAATGTTATGTATATTTTACAAAATTTTCAATTCTATTATAATAGTTACTTTATATCTGATAATACGTAAAACAAAAAGTAAAAATTCAACTTCAAAAACATAAATACAAACTAAAAAGTGTCGTCTATCAGATAGTTTTTATAGCAGTTTTTATAATACTGTTTGCAATTTTGCAATAATTAAGCTTTTCGTAAGTTATGCAAAAATGAGCGTCTGACAAAATGGGCTCCAAAACTGACATAGTAGGCAATAATGCCAACATTCCTATTCTATAAATAAAGATATATCCTATTCTGTAAAGAAAACTAATTTACGAAACTATAAACATTTAAATGACATAATATTATCAATAATACAGTCACTATTATTTTAATTACGTAATTTGCAAAAGAACACCGTAAGAATTTTCTTCTCGGATTCATAGAATTTGTTTTTAGCTGATTTGGTATAGAAATAAGCCACAAATATATGAATTATGAGTTTGTACTTCTTTAATTAAGCTAGACAGATCACGTTTTTATTAGTATTAATAAGGTCAAAGGTTAGTTTCTAAGAAATAATGGGATGTTGTTTTAAGAGACCTATGTCTCAGTATCGGTGACCTTCCTCTATAATTTATATTTCAAATGTCAAATTATCACTCATCATTTTCATATTGTAATTTTACATTTATCCTTTTAAAATTAATATAACTCAATATTTTTTAAATTTCATTACATTATCTGATAAACACGATTTATCACTATAGAATTACATAACAAAAGTTCAAATTTTTAAAAATAAATTTTAGTTACAGCGTTAATCATATAATGCTGCTAAAATTTTTTAAGGATCAATTTATATCTCTTCTTTATATCCCATCCAGTTTATTCGCACCAACACTCGTTTCAAATTCCTCGACAGATATAAATTGAGATTACTGTTGCGTTATGTCCGACTATCTATTATTTCTTTTATATTATCGATACCGATGGATTTGTACGATTGAACACGTAAAATTCACACGTCCGTGGCAATGTGTACTATCGCTGTATTCTGATATTTACTGCCAGTGTTGAAAATCTATAGTGCACATGTAATGTATATATTATAGATTTTCAGTACTGGCAGTGAATATCGGAACGCAACCTGCATATAAGAGCAATTGTTGAACTTTATCTGAGCGAATGGCGTCGATAGTTATCACAACTCAGCTCGTCTATTTTTCAGTCACCATTGTGGGTGCCCCGTTCAAGGGATTCTTCGTGCAGGCGCGTGACACCACTTCAAACAAATGGATTGGATCTTGGACGCGTACGCCGAATACAAATATACATTCCGAGTGTAGTGCTGTGACGCACGCTGATCCACATGATAAGGAGCAAGCCACCTTCATCTGGAACTCACCAGCGGACGCACGAGGAAGTGTTTACTTCACGTGAGTGCTATATTCTCTAGTAGCGGAAGTCCCGTGAGAATGTCCGTTCATGCATTAATAATGGAATGTAGGAAGGACAATGTTGAGAGTCGCAAATTGCGGCTCGAGTCCTTGAAACTTGCATTGTTTGTATAATTATTAAGCGCATTTCATGCAAGATATAACTTCAATGGATGTTATGTTAAAAATGCATATACGTTTGTAATTGCAATGGTTGTTTAAGAATTATGCAATGAAATTTCCGGTAGCAATTTATACTTTAATTGCATATTTCATAACAATTATGAGTGTATAGCTCAAGCTTGTACGCATTTTATTCAACACAGTCTCCCTTTTAAAGCTACATAATTATATAATTAAATAATCACTCTTGATAGCAAAATATCTCAACTTTCTCATTTTTATTAAAAAATTTTTATTTTAAAAGGAAATAAAATTTCCGATGATTGGACATGTTTTAAAAAAAATCACACACTTAAGAATTATGTATATTATCTTTATGAAAAATACGAATCATGTTAAAAAAATATAAATAAAATTTGCACACAATTTTTTATATAAATTCAAATAATCTTAAAATATTTAAAAAATCATTGTTTTAAATTGGTTTTTTTTTTTTATAACGTAATCTTTCTTCTTTCACAGGTACGTTACTCGGATTAAGCCATACTATTATTATATATGACCTTAAGTTTTTTTATTAATGAAGATATTAAAATATTAATTTTTGTACATGTTTTAAAATTCTTTTTTCACGAATTTATACTTCACGATGCATCCATGACGAAGCAAATTTAATAATAGTAAAACGAGGATACGTAGTTTGATCATGAGTTTAGCTATAAAAAATTCTTTATACTACTACTAAATTTTTTAGAAAGATTTTATAGATGATAAATAACACACTCATATATACTTAATTAATTCTTTCTGAAAATGTGAAGAATCTCTTAAAGTATCTTTTTAAGAAAATTTAGTATAAAGAATTTTTTATAGCTAAACTCATGATCAAACTACGTATCCTCGTTTTACTATTATTAAATTTGCTTCGCCATGGATGCATCGTGAAGTATAAATTCGTGAAAAAAGAATTTTAAAACATGTACAAAATGGTCTTTTGATCATTAATGAAGATATTAAATCATTTTTTTGGTACGCATATTGGCGTAAATGTATTTCATGGTGCAGTTGAATCAAATTTAATAATCGTTAAATGAAATATAGATATAATTTACCTAATGTGTGCACGCGCAATAATTCGCGGTCGGTTTACGATGGCACAGCGGGATTAATTGTATGATGTTAGCCGCTGGAAATAATTGCTTTTACAATTCAGTCATACTACAATCGTAATTCCACGCATACGTGAAACTTGTTAATAATTTGATAAGCTTCCCAGCATCATTTTACAGTGAAAAGTTGGACCGCAAGTTGTCGGTCTCTCACCTTGAACGGCTTGTGTGTGTATGTCAAGAATAAGCGCTATAAAATGTTTATTGTTATAAATTGTCTTGATATTCAACCAAATTATACAAAATATTTCTTTGTATAAATCTTACATTATCAAACAAAAGATAAACCAGTATTTCTTGATTTTTAGAAATTCTTAAATAAATTTTAAATAAATTTTTTATTAACAACAGGAGATTGAAAATTGAAAGAATGTACTATATAATTATTGTATTATAAGATAAAATTAAATCAAAGACTTTTCTATAAATTTTAAAATATAATTACAAAAGAGAGAGAGATAGGAGAGTTTGAAATTGTTTTATTTTTAGAACATTTTCTCTAAAATTTTTTCTCTTGTTCCCTCTTTTAAGAAAACATCAATGATAAATTCACCAAAGAATTTACCATTTAAAAAAGATCAAACCTATTATGATATATATTTTATGTATTTGTAATTATTGTGTCAAATTATAAAATATATTTAAAAATAATTTAAATTGGCTGCTCCGATTTGCTATACTTGAAATTAAAGATGGTTTACGAGAATTGTAGAAGAAAATTAAGTATATAATTTAATAAATCATTTATTAATTTAATTACGTTTTAGTAAATATTTATATTTAAAAGTGTATTTTGATAATTTATATCAATAATTTATTTTAATAATATGCTGTTTCAGTGGAACTGTATTGAAGGACTATGCAACGTTCTGGTCCGAGCTTGTGTCACAGGTGGCACAATAATTCATCAGCATACTGTTTGAATCTTTACTCGTCGACGAAGTGCTTTCGCCAAAGGATATATTCCATCTTTACACAAAAATTTTTTAATTTTATTTGTACGTTGCATATTTTGATACATTTGCGACATGTTATGCAATATAGATATTTTACATAAATCTTGTATTTTTGTACTATTGCAGAAATGCCAAGCGTTTTAAATAATAAAAGATTATCGAAACGAATACGTTGTTCGTTCTATGCGTTCGTTAGTTTCTTTGTTTTCATTAATTTCTCTACAGAAAGAGCAAATTTTTAAGGAACAATTACCGTGACATTTATTTATCAAATGTCTTTTCCTGCTGTTGGTTTATTTGTTTACCAATAAAATAATAGAGAAAAGTTGCAAATATATGAAAGAAATTCTCGACACCTTTTTGTAATAATCAATCGGTCGATTGAATGTGAATTGTTGTTTCAGCGGCGTCCTAGAAGAACTCGTTTTCCTTCGAAATGCTATTAAGGAAGATTACTCAAGCCGGTTGGCCAAACATGTACACAGTTGAGTATTGATGAAAAAGGAAATAAACGATTTCTTCTAGTTTTATAAAATTTCACAATACAAAAATTTTTTGTTAATCATTATTTAAATTCGAGTCAAGAGTGAAGAAATTCGTTTAAATATATGTTAGATTATTCGAATAGGCGGACTTATAAAATAACTTTGTTGTTGCGTTTTACTTTTGCAATATAACACAATTTATAGTACAAAGTATAATATTTAAAATATTTAGAAATTATACATTTTTTCCTTCAAAAAAATGTGTATGCATTTTATCATAACAAGTTATAAAATTTCTTCCTCCCATCTTGAACATCTATTTAAAAAAATAATATCTATCTAAAAAGTTGGAACTTTAAATACTTTAGATACGTTTTTTTTTTAATTAAATTATTCGTGCGATTATGCTGATAAGGTAGCTGGAAAGATTATTTAACTTTTTGCTTCATTTGTTGATTCATGCGTTGTGCAAATGCGAATGTAATGCAAATTACAATTTTTAATAAATATAATTTAATTTAATTATTTTGTAATAATTTCATAGAAAAAAACGTTATTATTACGATAAAATTTGATTCTTGATTTCATATATTATTTCTAAAAATCGCTGCTGCACGTCATATTGGAGGAACGTAAGTAAACTTCAGTGGATTACTGCATCTCGTTGCTTCTTGGCGAGGGTTCCGCCATTTCCTCATCCCGTTAATGGATCTCAACACGCTTTTACGTGAGCAGAAGGATCGAGGAACGCGTTACATAAGACTTCGCTTGTCGGGTAAAAGTGGACCACACTGGTATTACAAACCTGACAAGTCTAAGACTACTTTTTTCTTGCTTTTGCCTTTGGCTCTGCTCGAAGGGACCCAGGAAATTGATCCCGCATCGCGTCATTATATTTCTCTTGATAGACATCAAGATGTTGACATGAATGTCCATCCATTACGTGGTTCTTTATACTTCTTATTTTTTATTTTAATGATTAATAGTCGCAGAATAATAAATTATATAAGCTATTGTACTTACTATGCAATGTAATAATTTGAATAACTAATTATCGAGTTTGTCACAAGTTTAATATTTTGAAGAAGGTTAGAGGGGAGATGTATGTACGTTTCTTTTTGGCGAGGAAAGAGTTAAATATATCATATAATCAATGAGGTTATTATTAGGATGTAGATGGATGTTATAAATGGACGGATAAAAAAGAAGCGACGTTTTAATTACGCGTGTATATCCAGAATGAAAAATTGAATGTTAATAAACTAGAAAATAAATCATATTTTCGTTCATAACATTAATCACAGTTATCAGAAAAGCAAAACAAAAACTAATTTATATTAAAATTACTTAATAAATATAATAAGATAAAGCTAATATGTATATAACAGATTGCGTAAGTCCATGCAATAATTATAAATCATGTATTAAAAAAGATCAGTAACGAAAATATGAAGTATACATAAATATATACATAAATATATAGTAAGAATTTTGGGTTTGCAATATTTATTACAATGATATAAAAGCATTTTGAGAAAAGATTACGCTAGATATATTCGAATAACATTGTAATGGCATGCACAATTAATATCAAAGATGACCCGGTGACGCAGCATTACATTGTATTAATTGAAATATAATTATAGCGTCCGTGTCCCATGTAACTAGTCAGCGCGCCGATAATTATCACCTGAAATTGATCGACGTATGTTCATGATTCCTGATGAATTAGTTAGTATGATATCGCTGTGTCGTCCATTAAACCACCTACTAATTTCCATCTACGCGAATTATAAAGATCTTTTGACAATTTATGCGCATCTCTACACTAATTTATGATCATTCTTTTGTATTAAGTTTAATACATCGACATGTGCAATTTGTAACATTTAATAATTATCTATAAATTATAATACCTGCAAAATATGGATTATTCTCATATATGTATTAAAATCCTGCAACATAAAATATGATTTTTGGCAATTACAATACTGTTTTGGATACGAATAGCTGTCAAATACATCAACAGGAAATAATGTTTCAGTTACACCCTATAAATTTTTAATATTGTATAACATTTTATATTTAATATATTTATATTTATTATGTAATATTATGTAGCATATATTTTTTTATGTTAATAACGTATGATATTATATATATTTTTTATTTACGTTAATGTGCAATATATTTTATTCACGTCTCGTAATTAATCACACAATTTTTTCGTGCTATCCACAATATTAATCTTAATTGGCATTCGTTTCATGTTTGCGGAATAAGCAATGTGTGTGGTAAAGTTTAGCTGACGTCATAATGTAGCAAACTATCGATCAAGAAGTAAAATAATTGTACGGTTAGATCCAGAGTTTTCATGGAAATACTCGTATGCGTCATCTATACCCATAATAGGTACATAAAGTCTTATACGAATGGTATAATAATAGATGAAATACCGAGAAAAAATATATATATCTTAAAGAAAATTAAATGTAAAAAAACGCAAACAGATAATTCAAATGTTACAATTTAATTTTCATTACTCATTATAGGTAATCATGTTTTGCAGTAGTGGCTATAGAGAAATAGCCAGGAAACATTCAAGAATAAAAATAATTGTCAATTATAACTTATTATTTTTATTAATTTTAATTGCAAAGAATTTGTCAAAACGAGTTTTGACAAAAAAAATTTTTTTGAAATGAAGTTAATAAATTTAGTTTATTTATTAATAAATATTACTATACATAATAATAATATATGTAAAAATTATTAATATACATAAAATATACATGAAATTATATTTATAAAAATTGTTATATAATACATAATGATAATACATATAAAATTGCTAATAAATTATTAATAAATTGGTTTATTCATGTACAAAACACTTTGAAATGAAACTTTGATGAAACTTAATTTCTACAAATTGTACACTTCATTTACAGAGTAAATTTAATTTGAAAAAGCTATTATTTATTACAACTTTTAATTATACATGTAATTAAAAGTTGTAATAAATAATAGCTTTCTTTCAAAATGATAAATTAATGAATTCTTTTAATAAATTCTTTTAATAAATTAATAATTTTTTAAATATATTAATAAATTCTTTTATAATAACATATTTCATTTATTAAATAAATCCATTTGAGTAAATTCAAAGTAGACATCTGAAAATGTAATGCATTTAAAGTTCGAACACATCAAAATTTTTTCAACTTGTTGTGAATTGCGAGCTGTCATCGCTCCATCTTATTTATGAAAGTGATCGATCAAGAATCCATCACATAGAAAAATGAAGATCTATACTTTCCAGATTCTCCGGTATCATATCGATATTCATATTCATATTTATGTAGCGTAGCGAAACTGTCTATCCCTGATATATCACCTCGGTTTCGCTAAAGTTGCGCGATTGTGCATCCCTTAGAAGTGGGGATGCAGCGCGGGGTGCACGATTGTGTCCTATGCGCTGCGTCATTACCAGCACACGAACAATATTGACGACGACGACGACGACGACGACGACGACGGTGTCGCTTTACGTTTTCATCGTCTAAGTGGCGGTACACCGACGAGTCTTGTCCGAAGAATGACTCAGAGGCACTGTACTCCGTCGCTGTCTATACGACGGCGACGGTGGTCTCAAGGGGATGGATGCCACGGAAAGCGACACCGCCACCACACAACACACCATACCACATCACACCGCATTACACCGGTGGTCAAGGGGGTGGAAACGTGGCTCGGCCGTATTGCGCAGAACGCCGGCGCCTTGGCGTCGCGACGACTCTCGTTGGGGTGAGTCAGGTCGGTCGTTGCTTGGTGCCCGTGCCTTCCCGCTACGGTACGGTACGTGGCACAATCGCACAGTGTACGTACATACACGACGACGCGACGCGACGCGACGCAACGGCGCGAGCGCAGAATCGTCGGTCCCACCATCTCGCATTCGTCCGGACTGCGCCTCCGTCGTCCGATTCGGAATCGCACGCGCCAACCCTTCGCGATCAAGCGAGGGAGTCTGGACGCGCCACTCGGTAGACGCGGCGGCGTGACGCTTTGAACGACGACGACGAGAACCGCTAGATCGCTAAGGGCGCGGGGGGGATCCACGCGGACGGAAGAAAGAGAGAGATAGAGACAAAAGAGGAAGAGAGCTACGGCGTCGAGTTCCGCGGTGGCGACTATGCGCGTCATCGATCGCGCGCACCTCCGCGATCGGCCGGAGATGTGATACCGGAAGTAGGCCAGGCAGGGTTGACCTGCGTGGGCGTGCAGGTACGCGACGTACGGGTGCGTGCGTGCGTGCCGTGCATAGGCCGCAGGTGTGCCGCGTGGACCCGCGGGGGGACCAGCAGTCGTAGAGATGAGCGTCGCCGCGACAACCTGCCCGTCGCCGACGTACCCGACGTCGGGGACCAACCCCTGGTGCAGTACCACCGCTGTGCGGCTGTTCTGCGTCGTCTTGGTCTCCTCTTGGATTATCCTCGATCAGCCGGCCCTGGGTCTACCGAATCCCTCGGAGCTCACGACCGTAGAAGGTAAGACCTTTAAATAGTTTCACCCGCGCTCACATACAAGGCGCGTGTAACTTTCTCCGCGAACCACGTGTAATAAGATGACATTTCTCTCAAAACGAGAGAAATAACATGCACAAACGAAAAATATTTTAATTGGAAAAAATTGATCTATAGTTATATTTACTTCGTACTAATGATCTTCATTCGCTAGTTTCGCACGCGCGATTGTTTTATAATATATTTAAAGGATAATGATTAATTACATAATTTATTACATGTATATACACTGTTAATAATAATAGTATATAAAATATTTAAATCAAAAGTTGTAAAGTATTGTTTATAGAAGTTTAATTATAATTTGTTCTGTTGTTACCCAATACGGCGGCAAGTAAGGATATTTTATCCATAGATATGCACATATTAAAATTAAAATAGAAAGTTTTTTGAAAACATTTACTTCATTTAATGGAGTTATTCTTCGTGACATATGTACACTTGTTTAGATATCTGGTTTCCTTAATTTCTTTTGTGTGCAATCACATAAAACGCGCATGTCGTGCGAAGGACATCGTAGAGTGTCTGATTAAAAGTTGACTCACGTCTCTTGATTTTGCCAAAAGAAGTCACGCCGTTAACGAATTGGCATGAATGGTAAACGAAGAGTGCGAACACGATGAATACGTCCAGTCATACTATTTGCAAATCTCATACGAGTAGCTAATTGCAAATTTTGAGTTGCCCCGAATCGCGCATTGCTGGCGTAAGTTTAAAAATATTTTGGCTGCTTTTAACAGAGAAAACAGCTTTGCAAGTGTTATAAAATTTTTGATACATATGATTGGTCTTAATTTCTCACGGGATCTAAATGTATGAACCAATCATGTTAAAGATTCTTACAACAGTTACAAAACTGCTTTTTCTATTGAAAGCAGCCAAAATCAGTTTAATAATCAGCCAAAGTAAGTTAATATTAGCTAATATTGTTCAAAAATTTTTGATGATATTAGCTCGCAAATATATTCTGAAACCAATTATAAAAAACAAAACAAATAATTTAGCTTATAATGATTTTATGCAACATAATGACCATATTTTTCTGCAGTTTTAGATCAGTAACTTTTAAAAGAATAAATAAATCCAAATAAACATTTGCACGAATATTTATTATTGTGGATCAGCATGTTTATTTGATTTAATCTTTTACTTCCTCATCAAATTTACAAATAAGTATTACAAAAACATGATTTTATATAAGAACCAGGATTAAAAAAAATAAAATAAAAAATTTTTAAACCAATAAGGGAATCGTGTTAAATTTTGTACAGATATTCAGACGTACTAACGAAACAATCTATGAAATTTTTATATTTTTGGTAATGTTTTAAGATGTGACCCATACAATCCTTAAAATCTCACGTAAACAAATTTGTCGTTCACTCAGAGAAAGGTTTCTTTTATTTAAAGAAATATTTCTTTGCTATACGTTAAAAAAAAAATTTCTTTGATTTGAAAATAATTTTTTACGTAATCTACCCTTAACATTTACGGCTCTCGGAAACCCTACGAAATGAAAATTGCTTCATTATTTCAGAACACGTCTTCTGTAATTCTATGCTATACGGAATCAAATATTTGTGCCTGAATAGATCAAATAAATAATGTTTACGTAAATAGATAGAGAATTATAAAATGATCTTTTTCTTATGATTATTTTTTTCATATTAATGTATTAATATACATGTTTAATATATTGACAAATATGTTTAGAAGATCTTACTTTCCGTAATCCGCCAAAGATTACTTGAGAGTATTAAATAACAAATATTTTTTTTGGAAAATTTTGAAACTCTAGTCTATTCTCGCATGTAATAAAAAGCTACTGTTTTATCAGTTCATCTGTAATCTTCCTGTCTCGTTTCGCTGTCTCGAAAATTTATATGGATCGGTCATCGTAAAAGATAACGACTTATAGATAGCTAGAATGTTTTCCTTCGAATAGTTCTTCAATATTTTTTCAGGAGGAATTTTATCTAGTTTTCCGATAGTTTTCATCTTTTATTCATCTCTCTCTCTCTCTCTCTCTCTCTCTCTCTCTCTCTCAATCCGCATACAGTTACCGTAGACTAACATAATTTCGAAAAGAATAAGTTCTGCTTTTTCATTCTGAAAATTTGTTGGTTCAGGGTTCTACTAACGATTCGCATTCATAGCTCATTCAATTCATCTCGATTTGTACAAGGTATGTTTTTCAATTCAATGCATGTATTCTTCAACAATACTGATTGCTGCAGAATATTGAAAAATCCTTTTTTGTTTACCCAGGTTTACCTTTGCTACCTGGGTAGTTCGAAAAATATATGTAAATTAACTTTGCGATATTGGAAAGTAATATTAGTCCTTTACGATTGAAACAATATTAAACAAAAAAGACGGGCGATTAAGAGCCTTAAAGCGCGGTAATTAGTGCAATTATATTTTCAAATAGAGTTATTATTCTTACATAGATATGATAACCGAACGTTTCGACTTAATTCGGGTCATCTTCAGCAGTCTTGTAAATTTTGGATTCTTAGAACAATATCAAGTAAAGATAGTAACGAAGTGCAGCACGGAAAGTCTCTCAGATTATCATATATAGAGTGTGTAACCGTCAATTAGCTGTTTAACTAATTGTAAGTGCGAGTTACTGCACTCCATGACTGCACAATAAATTATAAATTGCAATGAAATAAGATCGCTGCTCGATATGTCCTAAGTCGAGTCACATAAAGGTTCTTAATTGCCCATCTTTTTTGTTTAATATTATTTTAATATCTCAAGAGCCCAAATCTGATTACTTTATGATTGAATTTTAAACCGTAAGTCAATATTAAATTTTGTAAATCTAATCAATTTTCGCATTTTGTAGCTTTTTATAAAAATTTAAAAGAATGTCAACTATAAGTTATAATTATATATTTTCACCGTTTTCCGACTATTTCAAAAAAGTAAAATATCATTTGTTAGTTTTAAATTGCTGAAAAGTAACTTAAATCTTAAAGTTTATTTAAATCTCGTATGCAAACATAAGATGGCAATTATAATTGTGATTATAAACAGGATAGTGCAACAAGTAAAAACATTTGCGATATTATGGACTTGTTGCGGAGTGAAAACAAATTCACTGAAATCAGTCATAAAAACTGAAATACTTGCGTCATTCGAGATTTTAGTATGCTTTGCCTATATCGGTTTATACGCGTCAATCAAAATAATTCTAATATTTATCTTGTTTTAATAATTATCCTAATTGCTCTTCATTCTATAATACTTAGGAATACATTCCTATAAAAATTACTTGCTTTAATTTTATTAACGATGTATCTTATTTAAGCTGTTATGTCAAATCAATCGACATAAAAACATCATATCGACTTATATAAGATGCTCATTCAATGACCTTATGCTATGATTGTGCAGTTTATGTCGTTTTGTGTATGATATCTCTTAATGAAACAAATACATTATGCTTTTGTTTTAATAAAATTTTATTTGTTTTATTAATGCTATTATAAAATTAACAAGATCATTTTTAATTAAAATAATGTTGTCAATACAATATTATTTTTTCCCGTGTACTCTCTTTTTCTGTTTGTTTAGCTCTCGCCTTCTTCATTCTGCTATTTATTTACCGGATTAACGTTAATTTGCAGATGAACTTTCTGTGCTTATTACGTGTTGCGAGAACATTATTGAATTATCCTTAATGGAATTGATGGAATTAAGCCTAACAATTTATTTCTCTTAGCTTAATTTGCGTTCTAGTAAAAGTGACATTATCTTATCTGTTAATTCAGAAATATACTTTAATAGTGAGATGAAGGGAATGAGAGAGAGAAATAAAATTTTATCATATATATATATATATATATTATATATTATAAACCTAATGCTAGATTTTGCAAGATATAAAAGGTCATACAATATATAAAAATTTTAATGCAGTAAGTACTTTAAAAAAATCACTACATATAACATAAAAATATACCTAACATTAAATGCTACAAAAATTTTTTAAATTAATGACTAATCGAAATAAAATTTAATTTTTAAAACAACTTTGCATATTACATTTGTATAAACTAACATCTAAAGAATATCGAAAACATCTAAAAAATATTTTATTTTTATGTCTTAAATATATTTTTCGTGCTTATATTGCCTTTTTAAAATGATCTCTTTTATTTTATGAAATAATATCATTCTTACGTATATTTTTAGCTTTCTTATATCTATTGTGTGACATTTCGTGTTGCCGAATTAAAATTGATTGCCTCCGCAAAGTTGTAACTTAAACTCTGCCCAAGTTTGCTAAGTTAAGATTCAATTCAATTTTTTTTGTATACCTTGATCCGTTTATCGTTTTCTAAGTAGTTGCTACAATTGTGTGCTACTGGTTTGCTTGACTGAAGGAATTAAGTAAAAAGATTTATCATCTAACTTTTTTATTAAAATTATACTGAGAGAAAATGGGTTGCGAATGTAACATGTAAAAATGATTTAATATTCACGATGAACAATTCGCGATAAACGATAATGGACAGTAAACAGAATTTATTAAATATCAATAATATATTAAAGTTTAAAGCAAAAATGGAATTGTGCGTGAGAGAGGAGATGGATAAATTATTACTCGATGAATATTAAATTTCTTTCTTTTTAATGAAAAATTCTCGTGTGCTTCAAAGTACCCTTTTATTCTACGCTCTGATTATTTTCTCGTAATAAAGTGGAAATGTCGCCGCAATCGATGACAAATAGCTCTCAGAGAATAAATGTTCGCGCGTTGGTGGCATCAATTTGTATCCATTATTGACGAGTTGTACTTCTTAACCTTCTGCTTGCGATTAGCTGTTGCTATGAATTTGCTTATTATTCATTACATCAGTGCAGATTTATCTATGAAAATGGACGAATAAACATAATGTCAATATTTGTAGAAAAAATTGATCCCGGCGATCAAATTGATCTCATGAAGC